TGAGATTAAATTAGAATAACTGATTTTTGGGATTAATATTGGAATATGATTAATAGTTGGGATTATTTAAATGAATTTTTCCTTATTAAAATGTATTAAAAAAATCAAATTGTTAAGAGGTATGTTATCTATATTTTCTTTTCGTATATGATAGAAAAATATTTAAACTCAGAATATAGTTTTCTGGTTCAAATATTAAAAGAAGATAATAGATATTAATGTTAATACTTGCAGCCTGCAGGAGATGATTCTTGAAGAGTTTTGAGCCGAACCAAAACCGATAAAAATGAATCAAAAACTGATATGTCCAGCCTACTATAATCATTGATGTTTGGTTGTTTCTATATGTGCATGCATAAAATTTATTCATCAAACATATACACTCGAATCTATACACACCAAAGTTAGATATGTCCACTTTGCAACCAAATTACTATCCATGTTGATTGAATTGGGTATTAAAATTAAAAATCAATTTTTTAAATCTCAGTATTTGGCCACCTTAAAATGTGAAATGAAGAAGATGAAGAACAGATTAAAGAGATAGATATAATATTAATAAGCTCTAAATTACTTCTTCTTAATATATGATAATTTCTAAATTTCTGAATTAATTTACAAAGCTTCACCAAGCTCCTATTTATAGTGGTTGAGCTTGATGATTAGTCATCTAAAGGATGACTCTACAGATTTGGTGGCAATAACAAATTGAACCATCGGTTCTAAGTTGGTTACAAGGATTGATGCTAGATTAGTGTCCTGATTACAAGGATGAATAATTCACACCTGTAATTCCCATGATTTTACAACAGCCGCCTAATTTACTCACTTTTGTGCATGTTTTCTATTTTTATTTAAAGCTACACACGAACCCAAAGAAGAAATCAAAACTATGATGAAAACAAACAAATACAACTCAATCAGCACCAAATTAAAGTGAACTGAATCAAACCGAAACCAGATCATATACAATTTGATTTGAGTTTGATAGAATTTCCTCCAAACCGCATTAAATTCAACCGAATCAAAACCGAAAACCGTATCAAACTAAAGAAATTCAATAAAGCATTCATATGTTATATATTAAAAATAACAAATCCGAACCGAACCAAAACCGATAAAAATGAATCCAAAACTGATATGTCCACCCTACTATAATCATTGATGTTTGGTTGTTTCTATATGTGCATGCATAAAATTTATTCATCAAACATATGCACTCGAATCTATACACACCAAAGTTAGATATGTCCACTTTGCAACCAAATTACTATCCATGTTGATTGAATTGGGTATTAAAATTAAAAATCAATAATTTTTTAAATCCCAATATTTGGCCACCTTAAAATGGGATAAGGTCGGGAAACACCTTACCAACTTATTAATAAAAAGGAAATAACACGTGGTAGGGGGACAAGAATCAAAACCTACCCGATTAAGCGCCATACTGGTAACTAATTGCATCACATGTAAAAATTTACACAAATTTATAATAAAGAAGAAGCAAGTCGGAATAACTAAAAAAGATGAGTATTCCCTCAATCCAAAGGTCCAACACAATACCTTTCAGGGGATGAACTATTTGGGTGTTCAAAATATAGGATGAAAGCAAGATCAAGACGTATACGACTCGTATTACTGAAGAACTCTTACAATATCCTTAAGAACAACTATGAACTCTAAATAATTTGTTCTGGCAATCGCTAAAATACAGTGATTATAAGAGAAGGTATAAAATGTTATTTAATGCTTGGACTCCAACCCATATACTGAGTTATGAGGGGGTATTTATAGTAAGTCATGGTATTTGGTCTTAGTGATGTGTCATTTCCTTTTTGGTCGAGTCATCCTGTCGCTCGAATCTTGTCATAACATCACATTAAATGCTCTTTCTGCGAACTCACCCTTAAGACATGTCGAGCGTCCGCTCGAGGGTGCTAAAGGCTAGTAATGTAAGGCCCACGCTTCTATGGTGCGCTTGGCCATATTGAGGGACACTCGATTCTTGTCTTCATTGTTTGGGAAGATCCCTTGGGCTCAGGCCTGGTCCTAATTTCGCTCGTTCCTTTAGCTGGTGCACGATCTTGGTCCTTGTATGCTTGGTGGCAGTGCAAGAGTTGAAAAGTGAAGAGAAATGGTGCCAAATAGGACTATAACTTTACCTATGTATCCGTATAGGAGTGCCTACTTTTTTAAACTTAAATAGGACTCCTCTTTTGCATTATACCGCTTTTGCCCCTGAGTTTTGTAAAACCACCCTGCTTCATTTTTCATAGCCTTCTATGAGTTTTGTATGGCCGTCTTCACTCTCGCATTGCGAGCCCTCTTCCTTCTTCGATTCGAAGCTTCATCATAGGCTGCCGCTCCTACAAGTAGCTTAGTACTGTAGACTTCAGGATATGAATTCCGCCGCTGCAAATATCGCCAGAGATGACGTGAGGGAGGTCTGTGACGGTGAATCTGGCGCAAAGTATCGCCGCCGCATCTATTCCGCTCACATCGGTGGATGGCGGCAGAAATCTCTCCTTCTCCTACTCCTCTTCTCCTTCTTCCACCTTGTTCTTCTCTTCTCATCTTCTCTTCCGGCCGATCTGGTAGCTACCCTTTTGGATCTGGTATTTTTTCCCGATTGTACGTGCTTTGCCGGATCTGGTAGCTAGCCTTTTGGCTCAGGAAGTTTTTGCCGGTTGTATCACTTGTATGTGCTTCGCCCGATCTGGTAGCCCATTTGAAATTTTGGATCTTGAACTTTTTGCAGGTTGTGTGAGTCGTACGTGCTTCTCCTTTTGGAGCTTGGTTTTTACTTTTCGTTTTTCTTGATTTTTATGTTAATTTTTTAAATAATTAATGCTTTTATTTATTTTGTGACATCATCTCAGATTTGGATTTGGACTTGTTTTATTTAAATCTCCATGTTTTTTCAACATTTCAATATTATACATTGCCATGTACTCTATTTTACAATGATATCAACATTATCTTATTGTTGATAAATGATTAGTGTAATTGCCATAGTAATGACATTGTTATCGTGATTAATTGACATTACAACATTTTCCCGACATTGTGACTTTTTTTAATAAAATTAACATTGTCATAATAGCTATTGACATTGTCATAATTGTAACGTCATTTTATAGCATCGACAATGACATTGTCATTGTGACAATTGCTTAACCCGGTGACATTTTTATACATTTTATGTAGGGGTGAGCATTCGGTCGGTCGGTCAAATAACCGACCGATAACCGAATAACCGACCAAAAATTTTAATTGGAATGACCGACCGATAACCGACCGATAGTATAACTCTAACCGACCGAAAAATCGAAGTTCGGTTTCGGTCGGTAACCGAAAAACCGACCATAACCGAACATGTAGAAATATTTAGCATTTTTTTTATTTAAGGTGGTTCCCGGTGGAATTTTTTTATGAAATTTTATAAGCATATTCCTACTGAAGTGTATATAATCTCCACCAAATTTCAATTTGAAATTCCATCTGGAAGTTAGTTAAATAAATTTTTGAAAAATATTGCGTTTTTATGTATTTTGGCGCTGTAAATTGAAAAAAAATATTTAACTGACTTCCCGATTGAATTTTAAGGTGAAATTTAGTGGAGATAATCTATATTTCATAAGGAACATGCTCATAAAATTTCATTAAAAAATTCTACCAGGAACTACCCCAAATAGTGTTTTTAGTAAAGCTTTATATATTTTGGTCGGTTATCGGTCACCGACCGATAACCGATAACAATAACCGAATAATAACCGAAAAACCGAAAGTTTAAATTTTTAACAACCGATAACCGACCGAAAACCGAATTTTTCGGTCGGTTCGGTCATCGGTTTTCGGTTAGATCGGTTGTATCGGTTATTTGCTCACCCCTAATTTTATGACATTTTTATGACATTCTTTAGACTTATATATATATATATATATATATATATATATATATATATATATATATATATATATATAATTAACATTTTCATAATAGTTATTGACATTGTCATAATTACAATGTCATTTTATAGCATCGACAATGACATTTTTGTAGCATTGACATTGTCATTATCATGTTACGTACGATGTCATTTTTGTAGCATTGACATTGTCATTTTTATTATTTGACATTGATATTTTTTAGATATTTTGACAGTTTCTAACATTACAACGTTAAATTAATTGCTTCTTCATTGTTATTTTTGATTGCTTTTAGCCATTTACATTATTTTTGTATCATTTATATTATATTTAAACAGTCAAGGGAAAATAAACATAATATATAAAACGATGAATGTGAATTGGCTTTGTCTTGCAAACGTTGCACCTGCAGAAAATTAGTTTTAACAATGCCATTTTCAATTCATAATTATTGACATTTTTATGACATTGTCATTGACATTCTTATGCCATTATCATTGACATTTTTAAGACATTGTCATTGACATTGTTATCGTGATTAATTGACATTACAACATTTTCCCGACATTGTGACTTTTTTTTAATAAAATTAACATTGTCATAATAGTTATTGACATTGTCATAATTGTAAAGTCATTTTGTAGCATCGACAATGACATTGCCATTGTGACATTTTCTTAACCCGGTGACATTTTTATACATTTTATGACATTTTTATGACATTCTTTAGACTTTTATATATATATAAAATTAACATTTTCATAATAGTTATTGACATTGTCATAATTACAATGTCATTTTATAGCATCGACAATGACATTGTCATCGTGACATTTTCTTAACCCGATGACATTTTATACATTTTTATGACATTATATATCATTTTCATGACATTTTTATTTAAAATTTTCAATAATTACTGTAGTAAGCTAATCGATACATCCAAGTATCCAACATTCAAAGAAGGAAACAATGAAAAAAGATTTTGGGCAGTTTACCCGTGATTCGATTGCATAACATAAAAAAGAATTGGAAAGGGGTTTCAACTATCAGCACCCCAATCAACAAACAAATATAGCAAACACAAATGTGACAATCTCACGTGCATAAACTTTTATATCAATGATACGGTATGGTGTCACTCGAAGTGCCAGGAAAATTGCACAGAAGACGGAAAAGAGAGTTCAACGTCGTGCCGGAGACCATCGCGCCATGCGCGAACACCTGCGGCGTCACCGGCAGTCCTGCCATCAACATGTGTCAAAAGTGCTTCGCCTCAACCACCATGTCCTCATCCAGCTCCGTCTCGGGGTCCTCAGTGGCGATTCCGCTCAAGTTCTCCGAGGTGAGAAACCCCCGTCCCCCAAGATCTACCTTCCCGAGGTTGTCTCCTGCGAGGTTGGTTCCAGATCTGAACAACCAGGCCCGGCCGAACAAGACCATTGAGAAAAGCGATGATGTCTCAACATCTGCTGCCAAGAGTGAGGTCGAATTGACCCGATTCTGCTAAAGTGCGACGAGGGAGTTTGGATGGTGAAGTTTGGTGTTCGTTGTTGTGAGGTGCAGCTGGTTTTTTGGAGAACGTCGTTCAAGTTGGGGGCGGTCTGGCAAAGGGTATTTTTGTCCTTCAAGTGAAAATTAGTCCTATCTATGAATTAAAAAGTCCGAACTCCTATTTGCCTTCGGTTCGTATGTTTTAGTCCTATTGACGTCTTTTTCCCAAATGTGAACTCCTCCACTTTTAATCAATCATTGGTACACACCAACGATTCGACCATTTTTGGAACATAAAGTATTTCTAAAAGGATCCACAACTCGTTTTCCGAAAACTGAAAGAAGACTCACTAGCAACTGTGAACTTGATAATGCAAAGATATCTTTTGCAAACAATGATAATAAGTACACTCATGGTACATCAATTCAAATGCCAATGCACACCCAACTTGAAACAATTTCCCAGTTCCAAATGACAACTAAAAGCTTCGTATGGACATCGAGCGATTTTCAACATGGACTCCAAGCGGTTTTCAACATGACAACTATGGTTAGTCTCCTTGCTTTTTGTACTTTGTCGTGTTTTTGGATTAATGTAAAGTGATTTGCACCAATAAAGCTTACCTAGCATGTTCTTTTGTATATAATCCACTAATCCCATTGTAATCTTGACATGTTTTTTAAGCTATACTTTTTCTCCCCATTGATCCCTCTTTTATATTGCATTTATCTCTCTTTTAATTTGGGTGGAAGATGTTGGTTTGAATACATGTTGTTACATTCATTCATTGCCTACAATTGAACTTTCTTATAACATTTGTCATTGCAATTTCTGAAATTCAAGTCCCATATCTTTTACTTCTGAAAGTTGTAGCAAGCAATGACATTATATTCTTATATGTCCGCGGCTTGAAGATGCTCAAGCTACTTTCGATGCATCAATTATTAGTATCCCAATAGTGTAGGGATTCATTTTGTAAACAAAGTTTGTTTCTTTAAGCAAATCAACAACATACAAAATTTATAGAATGTAGGAAAATTGAGCACTATCCTAATCGTGCAACGCGCATCATCAAACTATAGAACGTAAGAGTTTCAATATGTATACATACTAGTATTTTTACCCGTGCCGTGCACGGGATAAAATGATTTTACTGTTTAGTTTTACTAACGGAAAATCAGTTATTTAGTCGATTATAGCATTGATTTAAAATGGATATTCTAATTTATTGAGTATACCTTATGTTTAAATTTGTTATCTAAACATGCTTTCAGTCTACATTTTTCAATGAAAAGGACATATTTTTTTAAAACTTTCAATTGCATCCAATTGAAATTAATCTATTTTTACCTAAACAAAAACAAATTGTTCAATGTCTATTTTTATCCATTAAATTTCAATCGTGACTTACTGTTTTTTAAACTAACTACACATTTTGGTAACTTATTTATCTAAAATGGGTGTAGTCGATTTGTTTTAAAGATATTAGCCCTTTTAAGCTTTAGAAATCTTCAAATTAGTCTTTTGATCTCTTTCTCTAAAAAAAGAGTTTAGAATATACAGTTTTGTGACATTCTGATTTTAATGAAGGTGATGGCGGCGACAATAGACTGCATATTGTGATTGGCGGTGATCACCTTATTATTCGTTAGATCGAGTTATTGAAGGTATATGTGATCTTATTAAGTAAAATAATTACTCCCTCCGTCTCCCTAACCTTTTCCCGTTATACCTTTTTCGCACATCCCATTAAGTTTGTCTTATACCATATTTGGTAATAATTGAGTGGTTAGAATTCATTCTTACTTTATTCACACTTTATCAACTCAATATCAACCACAAAATTCAACCTTTTCTCAAAAACTACACTACACCCCCTTGTTCCAAAATTGTTCCAAACTTAGGGGGACAGAGGTAGTATTACCGAAGAAGTAAAATTGCATGCTTTATACTTTAATAGACAATTTTTAATTAGAAGAAGGTTAGATGAATAAAACCTCTAAAAAGATTCTCATCCTATCAAGAGGTAGTTGTAATCGAAACACAAAATTTCAAATTATGAAATAAAATATAAAAAGATAAATGCCCCATATTAAGAAACAAAAAATAATCTAAATTTTTATGACCAAGGAGTACTATATTAAAGTTACCTCCATGAGTAAGAGAATTACTCTGTACATTTTATTTACAGTCTAGCTTATTTATCTAACTCTTAAACACCACTTTTAGTGTCGCGATATGATTGTTATATATGTAATTAATAAAACTTTTCGGGAGTTGAAACTCTCGCCCAAAATATATCAAAGATTATATTTATACATAACAAAACTACAAAAAAAAAATTGAATTTCATAAATGAGATAAAAAAAACTGATTCCAATTGAAAATATCCTTAATTAGAAAGGTAGACATAAATTTGAGATAGCATTATGACAAATTTATATTTAGAAAATTTTAACACATGCAATCTTGCTACTTTAATTTTTCCCACTTTCATTTTAAGATTTTTCACTCTTTTTTTTCATTTTACTAATGATTTGGAAGTTATTAGAATCTTTTTAACAATTTTATTGAAATGCTTTGGGGGTGTTTAAAAAATTCTTATTCTCTTGTATTCCACTTTCATTACCATTTAGTACTTGTAGTTATTATATTGAATTAAATAATGTATAAAATGTTATTTATTTTCCTAGTCATACGATTATACCATCCTACCATTTCACCTTCTACATCATTAATTCTTTTATTTTACTCTACTTACTACAACCTTCCATCTTATTGAGTATTTGGTCTCTTTTTCACTTTAGTTTCAAATTTGTTCATTTCCACATTCTTATACGGAAATCAGAATAGAATTTCACACCCTTATTTAAAGGGATTGTGTATTAACTTCTAAGGGTTCGCGATTGAACACAGAATGAATATCTTCGAGCTGATTGCAATAGATTCTTGGTGTTGTTGGTTTTAAATTTTGTCCCGATAAGACTTTTAGGTTTCTTATTTTCAAGTAAACAGTATGTAATTAAATGAAAGAGTTACTTTAAATACATGTTGATGTTTAAACTCAAGAATCGAAGAGGAATTGAAGAAGATGAACAGTATGTGTTATTCAGAGTAGATGAGCGGAAGTTCAATACAATGAGAATACTTTCAGATACCTAATTTACATTGATTTAGTCTAATTTATATTAAGTACAAACAGGCCTATCAGCTATATAAACAGAATACACATAGACCCAAATAACTAAAGAAAGCCCAAGCAAATACTAATATCCAAAGTCCAGATCTTTAGTCTTGATACGCCCCCTCAAGAGGAGCATGAATATTCATCATGTTCACCTTGACTGCAAAGTGTTTGAACAACGGATTTCCAAGAGGCTTGGTATAGATATCTGCAAGTTGAAAATCATTCTTAATATGTTTTAAAATAATTAAACCAGAATTGATTTTTTCTCTAATTAAGTGGCAATCTAATTCAATATGCTTGGTTCTTTGGTGTTGAATGGGATTATGAGCAAGATGATAGGTGGATTTATTATCAGTATGAATAACTATGGGTAAAGGAAATTGTATATGCAAACCTTTAAGAATATAGAATAACCACTGGGCTTCACAGACTGCATTTGCAGCTGCTCTATATTCAGCCTCAGTTGAGGATCTACTAACAACTTGTTGTTTCTTAGATTTCCAAGAAACCAAGGAGTTGCCAATATAAAAGGCATAACCTGAAACACTCCTTCTAGTGTCTATACAGGAAGCCCAGTCTGAATCAGTATAGCCTTGAACAGAAAAATCAGAATGAGAGGGATAAAAAAGACCTTTACCTGGAGAATGTTTAAGATATCTTTAAATCCTATGAGCTGCACTCATATGAATGTTAGTAGGAAAAGCAAGAAATTGACTAAGAACTTGAACACTATAAGCTATATCTGGTCTAGTGACTGTTAAATAAAGTAATTTTCCAATTAAAGTTCTGTAAGTTTTGGGATTTTCTAAAGCAGTGCCACCATTCTTAGAAAGTTTTATTTTTGAGTCCATTGGAGTAGTATAAGGTTTAGAATGAAGATAACCATACTCAGTGAGAATGTCAAGTGTGTAATTCCTCTGGCACAAATTGAGACCTTTATCATATCTGGCAATTTCAATGCCTAAAATGTATTTTAATTCTCCAATGTCCTTGATAGTAAACTTATTGTTTAAAAAAGTTTTTACTGCATTGATTTCTTCTATACTATTACCAGCAAGAATGATATCATCTACATATACTAAAAGAATAGTGACATAATTATTAGCAGTTTTAATAAACAAAGAAAAGTCAGCTTTAGACTGAGTATACCCAAATAATTTGAGAGAATCAGAAAGCTTACAAAACCATTGTCTAGAAGCCTGTTTGAGGCCATACAAACTTTTGACCAGTTTGCAAATTCTGTTATCATCCGGAGCCAAATATCCTGGAGGGGGCTGCATAAAAATGTTTCCATTTAAATCACCATGTAAAAAAGCATTATTTACATCAAGCTGATGTAAAAACCAGTTTTTAGCGCTAGCAATGGCTAAAATGATTCTAACAGTGGTTAGTTTTACAACAGGAGAAAAAGTATCAAAATAATCAAAACCTTCTTCTTGAGTATAACCTTTAGCAACTAATCTTGCTTTATATCTGTCTAACGAACCATCAGGTTTTAATTTGGTTTTAAAAACCCATTTACAGCCTATGATATTCTGATTAGGGGTAGGATTAACAAGAATCCAGGTTTTATTTGTCTCAAGTGCTTGAATTTCAGTCATCATAGCATTCTGCCATTCAGGAAATTTGACAGCTTGTTTATATGTTTTAGGTTCTGTTATTTGAGAAAGAGCAGCAGTAAAACAAGAGTGAGAAGTACTTAATCTATCATATGTAATATAGTTCTGAATAGGATATCTGACAAAATTACAAGAGGAAGAAGAAGTTGATGTACCTGAAGTGATAGAACTAGGCAATTCATAAGTATAATCTTGTAGATGTATAGGTAAAGACCTTACTCTTGTGGATTCATTGTTAGTAGAATCATGCATATGCATAGTATTAATTTCATCATTGAGTTGATTTTCCAAATAATTTATTGCATTGGTAGTATAAATGTTATAGTCAGAAGAGTTATCATTATTATTTAAATCATTATGAATAGTATCAGTAGAGTCAGTACGATAATCATGAAAGAAATTAGGACTGTTTTTATAAGGGAAATTTTTTTCATAAAATTTAACATTTCTTGAGATAAAAAAATTGTGATTGTTAATATCATATAGTTTATATCCTTTAGATCCTAAAGGATAACCAATAAAAACACATTTTACAGCTCTTTTTTCAAATTTAGATCTATCAGCAGTTAAGGTGGAAGCATAAACAAGACATCCAAAGACTTTTAAGTGAGAATAATCAGGTGGTTTACTGTATAATAACTCATAAGGAGACTTGTTATTAAGAATAGCAGTTGGAATTCTATTAATAATGTGAACAGCAGTAAGAATACAATCTGACCAAAACATAAGAGGTAAACAAGATTGAAAAAGAAGAGCTCTAGCAACTTGAAGAATGTGTTGATGTTTTCTTTCAACCCTAGCATTTTGTTGAGGAGTTTCAACACAAGAAAGTTGATGAATAATCCCATGAGTAGTGTAAAAAGAAGGAAACATAACTTCCGTACCATTATCAGTTCTAATTACCTTAATTTTTGCATGAAATTGAGTATTTATGAGATTGTAAAAGTTCATCATATGAAATTTGACTTCAGATTTATTTTTCATTAGAAAAACCCAAGTACATCTAGTGTAATCATCTACAACAGTTAAAAAGTATTTAAACCCAGAATAAGATTGGACTCTAAAAGGGCCCCATACATCCATATGAATAAGATCAAAAGCATGAGAAGCATGACTAGAACTATCAGAAAAAGGTAAACGCTTTTGTTTGGCAAAATGGCATATGTCACAGAAGGTAGTTTTATCCATATGATGTTGAACAGTACAGTCCACAAGAGATTTCAGCTTATTAATTAAAAGGTAAATGACCTAATCTATAATGCCAAAGATCAGAGTTATTATCTAAGTATTGAGTATTAGCACCATTGACAATAGAAGAGTGTGTGTTTGGAAGAAAAACATTGATAGGATTATAGAGGTAGAGTCCAGATTGAAGATCAGCATAACCAATCATTTGGTTGGTGAGCAGATCCTGCAAAGTGGCATGATTAGAAGAAAAATGAACAGATATATTTTCATGTAAAACTAGGCTAGAAATAGAAATAAGATTAAAATTGAACTGTGGGACATATAAGACATTATGAAGAGTAAGATTTGTATTTAGTTTAATATCACCAATATGGGTGGCAGATATAAAAGAACCAGTAGGTAATTGAACATTGATTGAAATAGATTTAGGTGATGAAGTAAATAAATTGAAATTATAAGTCATATGATCAGATGCACCAGTGTCAAGAATCCAAATAGAGGGTTTGACACTGGATAGAAGGGCAGAATGATTACCTAGCAAAGAGGTATCACCAGGAGAGTGATCATGAACAGGAACAGTCATAGCAATATGAGCAGAAGAGGATTGAGCATTCTGAGTGTTCATAAACTCCAAGAATTTGTTATATAGTGAAGGATCACAGAGGTCCATCTC